TATTTACATACACACTCAACATTGCTTGCCCTTTGTAACACTTTGTGATGAACTGATGTATCATTTTGCCTTCTTGTACTGTTCCAGTTTTGCCTTTTTTGTTGTATTTTAACAAATCAGCACCTGAAAGTGAAGAATGCAATGAAACATAAAGCAGTGTGAACCCAAGGCAAGAAATTACAGCAGTGATTCATGCGTAGTATAAGAGAGGCAATACCGGTGGCCTAAATGATAAAAAAAACATTTCAAACATGTATTTGAATGTGATTCATTTTCAGGCTATTCAAATCAGAATTGCCAACAATGAATTAAATTTGTAAATGTTCATGTTAAATGTTATTTCCTTTTCTCAATCAAGTTGATTATTAGATAAGCCTTGATATTTCACTGTAGGTGTCAGAGGTCACAGTCAGATTTGATATAATTAAATCTGCATGATGCAAATGTAATAATAATCAAAAGCTGCTGACCATTGGGGATTGTATTTTTTTTTATAAATATGTCTTTATGTTTACTACTATAGCTTAAGACATGAAGAGTAGAGTCTAGTTGCTGACTATGTATCCCCGTTGGCATCTGTGACAGTTTGTCATTTTGTACCATAGCTCGAGTTAACATTTGTACAGAAGTTTACTCTTTGTTTACATTTACACAATGTTTGGGCACATTTTTTTTCTTGCATATTTTGTTTACCACACAGCATGTTAGGTAGCTACAGCATAAATAACATAACTTAATAATTTATATACGTAGTCTCACATGGAACAAAAAAAGACAATGTCTGTCTTTTACAGAAGTTAAACATCATTATTTCTTTAAGATCATGCTGTTTTATAGCCTACCTACAGCCATCCCTGCTGTCTATATTTGCAACTTTGTTTTTTTTTATTTCACATCACAGCTCTTTACTTTGAAGCTATATATATAAGAAACTTTTTGACATTACTTTTTTCCACTAAACACAAAATTAGTGAAGTGACGAGTCATATGTTGTGTGACATTTCTGCTCTTAGTATGACAGTTGTGCAGTAAAAAAAAACATTTTTTTTCATAGTGACTCATTATAGGTTTTAAAAACATATTTTCCTCATTTTTATAGAACTACTCAACTCTGAATAGGACTGACAGGATATATGGATGGATGGATGGATGGATGGATGGATGGATGGATGGATGGATGGATGGATGGATGGATGGATGGATGGATGG